CCATTGTGTTCTCAACCCATTTCTGTACATGCCCTTTATTTCCAAGTGACATTTTTAGTCATTCACAATAAAAAAATTATCTCATATATATATATATATCATATATATATGATTTATTATTACTTACATGATATAGATAGATATATATTATTTATCTTTACTTATATAAGTACATATATAATATATAATAAATAATATATGTACTTACATCATATATATATATATATGTTTTCTCAGTCAGCTTCTTAACTTCCATTGAGTGATATCAACATGACTTTTCTTTAAAAAATTTTTTTTTCAGTTTATGTAGTTTTGAAAGAGAAACAGAGCATGAGCATGAGTGGAGTAGGGACAGAGAGAGAGGGAGACACAGATCTAAAGCAGGCCCCAGGTTCTGAGCTGCCAGCACAGAGCCCAATGCAGGGCTCAGACTCACAAATTGTAAGATCATAACCTGAGCTGAAGTTAACCTCAGCTTAACTGACTGAGCCACCCAGGTGCCCCTCAACATGCATTTTTAAGGTGACCTACCTTTATCCAAATATCCCTTTCTACAAACCCAAGGAGAAACACTACACCATTCATCTTTACTATCTTCCCTTTCTACTCTCTCTTCCAGGAATACTTACCACCCAGGCCACATATGTCACCTAGACTTGGTTTTCCTTAGCTCACTTTATGCTTCATGAAAATGTCCCTGTTTTGTGTCCCAGATCTTCAAGTTCTTAGTCAGTACTATAAACTAATCTACTTCCCACATTAATATTTGCATATATCTACACAGTATTCCATGTAATGTACAGAGGGAAGATGGTTAAAACCACAAACCCACTGTCATAGTAAGAAAGTAGGGCAGTCCGTGTATAAGATATTGGATTTAGTATATTAATGAGACCTTTTTTGGCTTCTTAAGTTGCCTGATATAATTAGCTTTCTGCACTTTCAGAAAGTAAGATCTGCTTTGAAATGTGGAAATTCAAGGAACATATTCCCAAATCAATGGCCATAGCCAAGCCAATAGGCATAGCAATTATAGCTCTTTGGGGGAAGATTGTATCAAATGTAGGTTCTTGGATCTGCCTAAAATATTTCCTTTTCCCTGATCTTGTTTTCAATTTAACGATTAACTGTCAAACACAAAATAAAGTTCCCTTAAATTACTTTTGAGCATAATATTCGTCTTTTGATCCTAACAGGTAACACTCAAGCTGAACCTCTATCAACAAACCCCTCTTTGCTGATTTCTGGACCAGATTATAGGCAAGCTTCTCCACTTAGAACCATGCAACTATCTTGTAGTCACTTTATTTCCCAGGCAATAAATACTAATCTCAGCAAGCGTTTGCCTAAATAAGTTTGTGACCATTTGAAGACCCACTCTATAAATATCTCCACAACTCTCTGCCTGTTTAAAAATGACACTTCAGAGAAGGCTTTTGGTTCAATGAGTCTCTCAGTCCCAAAGCATTACTTCTTCTAGCTTTAAAATGCTTCCCTTCTTTTTTGGATGGAGAGGATGGTAGGGTAGTTTCATTTCTGTGAGTCAAAAGATTTTTTTGGACCACTTGACAAAGTAACAATGCTGCCTTCCTGCCATCTAGCTGAAGAATTTTGCAAAAGGGTTGGAAAATTAAATTCTTAATCTATAAAGATTCTTATTCAAATAAACGACTTGATTCAATAACACAAATTTAATTGCTCCTGGAGTTTGAAAAGCATTGTTTTTATGATATGGTAATTAATTTAAACTCGTTCATATTATAAGCCATCCAAAGATTTTAAGCAAAAACTAAATGGATCATATCTGTAAAAGTAACAACTGGCGTTGCATGTAAATTTAGTCTTAAAATTATAGTATATGCTTCAAATTAATAAACACTAAACATTTACGTAAAATTACGTAGTATTTTTTTTACTTATTCTCTTCCTTGTTTAACTCATCAATTCCGTTTTTTTCAGTAGCACACTTGAACTCTATGCCTATGTCATTTCATCATAAAAAGTAGGCTACATGGAACAAATAAGCAGAAAAAATTTCTGTTGTTCATACACAAGTAAGAGCTTTCATAATACATTAGAATCTTCTAGAAAAAAAAATTATGTCTTTCCTATTAATAGGCCCAAAGATACAAGGATGAAGAAGAAGCTAAAGTTTCCTAAAAATTAGTTCTTATATCTTACACACCAAGAAATGTGATCCGATGCTCTATCACAGGAGATTCATAGAGGATTCATAACAGAGAGAGCCACAGAAAGCCAAGCACTTAAAAAAATTTAACTTGTCAAAATTTCAAAAGCCCTCTGACACTTACCAGTGCCACAGAAATGATGCATCTACTGGCACTGTGCATTCGTAGTCTGAAGAAATATAGTAATACTACATGGATTTCTGATGTATTAAAAATTTCCCCTTTGCTAGGGTTTTAAGGCCAAGTGATACACATTAGGTTTGCCTGAGCTTGTAGCCCTAAAACTCTCCCATCTATATTTAGTTAGTTTTATATTATTCTACGCTAAAAGCTAAGTTGTTTTTGTAATTGCTCACAATTCACTTTACTATGCACATATTATCTCTCTGAAAAAAACCCAGTATGGGCATACCTCAGGTTGGGATGGTATCTTTCATTTATTTGGCACTCTCCAACTGCATTGGAACCATCCAGTGCCTCTGGTACAGGCATCACAGTAGTTATCACAACTAAATCAGGAAACCAAGCCGCTAACTGGTTCTGTGGCCCAGGGTCACTCATCTCACCTTCTGAGGCTTCCTCTGGTGCTTCTAAAATGAGGCGATTATACTTTTTCTAAGATACTTTCCAGGTATAAAATTCCATGGTTCTTTTCTTTTTTTTTTTTAATTTTTTGAAATGTTTCATTATTTATTTTTGAGAGAGAAAGAGCATGAACAGGGGAGGGGCAGAGAGAGAGGGAGACACAGAACCCGAAGCAGGTTCCAGGCTCCTGGTTGTCAGCAGAGCTGTCAAGGCGGGGCTCGAACTCACAAACTGTGAGATCATGACCTGAGCCGAAGTTGGAAGCTTAACCAACTGAGCCACCGAGGCATCCCTAAAGTTCCATGGTTCTTAATTAAGGGAGCAAGCAGACGAAGGGAGTAATGGGAACACGTAGGAAGAAGCGGTACCCAATTCAGAGCACTAGATGCCAAATCTTTGGCAAAACTATTCACGTATTTGAAAAGCAGAGGGATGGTTGTGGAAAAGTCAGGAGAAACTAGAGAGAGATCCACTGTCTGAAGATAAAATGGTGTGGATCCAGATTTGTGAGTCTGATGCTTGTCTTTACCGAATGCATTGTCTAACCATGCATAGCCTGGGTTGCAAAAATCCTCAAGTGTCAAAATTAAGTTAAGGCAAAACTTGCAAAACAGGTGAAAATGAGGAAAACCCCTAGAAATAAGAAAACAACAGAATGGTGATTCTAATGTCTGAGCAACAGGGGGGTAGGCTGAAAAAGCAGCAGTGGGAAGACATAAGGTAGATAGATACACAGCTGTATATCATGAAAAATTGGGGGGTGGAAAAAAATTTGTAGATTGATTCCCAGCAACTAAGCACCACCAGAAATAAAAGAAAACTCCCATCTTTGGAAGAGTATAATGACTCTAGAGTTGCTGCAATGTATTATCTGTAATTTGTACGTTTTAACCCCAAATTCATCTATATACAAAAAAACCCCAAGAATGTATGAATTTATACTCAGGAAAAGGAGTCAGTCAATAAACAGACTCTGAGTGGTCTCAGATATTGGATTAACAGGCAAGGATTACAAGGTAGCTGTTATAAATATGTTCAAAAATAATAAACGTGGTTAAATAATTAAAGGAAAATATCAATGAATAAACAGATAATCTATAAAGAAATTCTAAAAAAATTATGGTTATTAAAAACTTTCCTAGACTGGCTTGATAGAAAAATTAGACATGGCAGAAGAAAGAAATAGTGAACCTGAAAATAAATCAGTATAAATTACCCACTTTGAAGAACAGAGACAAAAATATTAAAGAAAAATGAACAGTACCTCAGGATATGATCTATTCTGGAGAATGTTCTGTGTGCACTTGAGAAAATGTGTATTCTGCTGCTAGTGAATGAAATGTTCTGTATATGTTTGTTAAGGTCCATTTAGTCTGAAGTATGGTTCAAGTGCAATATTTACTTATTTTTCTTGTCTTAATGAAGTACCCATTGTTGAAAGTGGGGTATTGACGTCCTCTACTGTTATATTATTGTATACTTCTCCCTTCATAGCTCTTGGTATTTTTTGAATATATTATGGTACTCCAATGTTGGACGCATATATATTTATGATCATTACATCCTCTTGATGAATTGATCCCCCTATGCCATTCTTATGTGTGTCCTTAAAGCTCCCTTTTGTGGGTAGCATACGGTCAGGTATTTTTTTAAAGTGCATCCAGCCACTTTATGTCTTATGATCGAATAATCCAATCCGTTTGTGTTTAGCAAATTATTGATAGGTGAGGACTTACTAATGACATCTTATTAATTGTTTTCTGGATATTTTATAGTTCCCTTGTTCCTTTCTTCCTCTCTTGCTGCCTTCCTTTGTAGATTTTCTGCAGTTGTATGCTTTGATTCCCTTCCCTTTATCTTTTGTGAATCTATTACAGGTTTTTGCTTTGTGGTTTCCCTGAGGCTTACATAAAACATCTTATAAATATAGCAGTCTATTATGTGCTGGTAACAACTTAACTTGCATTGCATACAAAAACTGTACACGTTTACTCCATCTTTTTATGTTTTTTATACCACAATTTACCTCTTTTCTTATTGTGTACTTTTTAACAAATTATTGTACTTGTAGTTATTTTTAATACTCTTACTCTTTAACCTTTGTATTAGAGTTTAGTGTTTAACATTCCACCATATTACAGTATTAGAATGTTCTAAGTTTGACTTTATATGTACCATTACCAGTGTGTTGTACATCTTCATATTTTTTCATGTTACTAATTTCAGGAGATTCATGGATGAGGTGTTCCCAGTGGCTCATAGGTAGGCTCTTTGATGGAGTCCATAATGCAATTAGTAGGATCCATATCCTTTTATGCCCCCCCAAGAGTCCTATCCGTTGTTCTCCCAACCTTTTTCCACCCTCTAGTCATGTAGCTCAGGATTTGGTAATGTCTAATGGGCAAGAAAGAAATGAGCTCCTTTGGCAACATCTTGGGTAAGCAGGATATTCTTTCACATGCTCTCCTTTTCCCCTGTGGGACAAATCATGGGCCAAGAAAATCTCTCTTGGCTCTGAGATGTGTCACCCTGGGGAATGGGAAATTTAGGTAAAGTAGAACTATTTCTCTTGCCCTCTCCTATGTATCCAGACATACCTTTGTTTGTTTGTTTGTTTGTTTTGCTTTTGCTCCAGCAATGTGCTGGAACTTCTCAGGAAACCTGGACTTCCACAAAGGCCCCCTTGTCCATGGGTGATTTTCTAAGACAGTTTTCCAGGAGTTCCTGGACAACAGCTGAAGGGCAAGAACTGTTCATAAATCACTGCAGAGTCCACAACTAGGATATCCACAATGTTTGTCTGCCTGTGGGCCAATGCCCATGTTCCTTGGCACATGATGCTGGATTCCATGGCTCCCACAAAGGGACTGTGACTGTGGACGGATGCTGAATTCTTGCTGTTGAAATGAGGACCAAAAAGAAGAAATGTCTTCTCCTGCCATGATGCTGATGTCACTCTGAGTCCAGGAGTTTCACTGGGGGCTGGTCACATTGGCACTTTTTCCCTACACAACAAGCCATGATTTCCAAAGTTCCAGACTCCCAGAAGAAAAGCAGGTATTTACTATGAATCACATTGTTTGCACAAACAATTTCGATAAGCTGGTACAGCAGGGTTTAGTGCCCAAGGCATGCAAAACAGTCTTATGATTTAGTAACAGGGAAAATTCCAAAGTCAAGTTTCCATATGCCACCCTTACAAGCAAGTTCTTCAAAGGGCAACATCAGAGCTGCTATATTAACTCCTTCCTACACAGGCACACTGGCACTGTTACTACACCCAGCAGAGGTATTTCCTTTCCTTAGCTACAGTTGAATCTGGTTGGGATTTTATTTCCACAACTTCCAGAAATAGCCTCATTACTCTGCCGAGAAACCAGGCACCAGCCCACTATCTCCATCTCTTCAGATGTCTGAGTTTCACTTCTACAAATCTCTTCCTTAGAGCTTTTATTTTTTTTTTTAATTTTTTTTTCAAAATTTATTTATTTTTGGGACAGAGAGAGACAGAGCATGAATGGGGGAGGGGCAGAGAGAGAGGGAGACACAGAATCGGAAACAGGCTCCAGGCTCTGAGCCATCAGCCCAGAGCCTGACGCGGGGCTCAAACTCACGGACCGCGAGATCGTGACCTGGCTGAAGTCGGACGCTTAACCGACTGCGCCACCCAGGCGCCCCATAGAGCTTTTAAATTTTAGTAATTCCAACCCCGTCTTTGTTCATCTTGACCCGGGAGTGGTCACTGCTTCCTGAAGTTACTATTTCTATATTTTATGATTTTAGTGGGTTTTTTTTCCCCTTTCACGTGACATTGTTAACAACCTTAGACTTAGCTTTAAAATATTGATGTTCAGTTGTATCTCTTCAGGTAACTACTGTGCTTTTTGCTAGACCCTGACTGACACAAAAGCAGAGACCGTCTTCCTTTGGAAGAGATAGTAGACAAGCAAGAGCCAACAGGATTTATTGATTCCTTACTCACGATTCTCCCTTTTTGGTACCAGATTTGTGGTACCAAATCTGTGGTAAAGCAGCTGTGGCAATGGCAACAGTGACAGCACCAGCTGCAAATTTACTGACCTCTGATGACACCTATGGTAGGTGAACTTGAAACAAAATTTTAGCATCGGCCTCCCCAAATCTCCCTTCTCCAGTTCTTCCAATGACACTTCAAGTGTTTTTGAAGTTTCTTCCTCTTTATATCATCTAGAGTAATTTTTGATTCCTGTGCTAAATTTTGATAGCTCTATAGGTCTACAGGCTATTTATTAAAAGACTACAGGGGGGCCTGGATGGCTCAGTCGGTTAAGTGTCCGAGTTCAGCTCAGGTCATGATCTCATGGTTCATTAGTTGGAGCCTCACGTCAGGTTCTGCGCTGACAGCTCAGAGCCTGGAGCCTGTTTCGGATTCTGTGTCTCCTCCTCTCTCTGCCACTCCCCTGCTTACGCTCAGTCTCTCTCTCAAAAGTAAATAAACATGAAAAAAAAAAACAATAAAATAAAAGACTACAGAAAACAAAAATTTAATGGTGAGACTTTAAAAATCTTCTCCATGTATTAGGTATGAGATGAGCGTGCTTGTTCTCACCATTTAAATTCAACATTGTATTGGAACTAGCAGATCTCACAAGTAAATGGAACATGGTTAATACAAACAAAACAAACTTGCAATTGTTTGTAATTGATATGATTATCTACATAAAATTCTTACATAGGATGCATTTAAACATATGCAAAGTTTAAATGTACCAAAAAGGTTACTGTAGCCATATTGCACTCGGCACTGCATTGTGCCTACTTCATAAGACAGAAAAAGACACATTTGAAGTACTTTTGTGAGCTTTATTTCCCAAAACCAGATGAAATTATCTTCAAAATGATCCATTACCTAGGAAATCTAGTAGTGTCTACTTTTAGATGGTTACAGTTGAATGGATAGCCTTGAGCTAATTGCGCAAAAGGGATTGTATCTATAAATTGGTCACGTGGCTTGTCTCGCTGGAACACATTTTAAAAACAAAACAAAACAAAACAGCTCTCCAATCACCTTGATTTTCAGAAAAACTATAATCTTGGCTCTTAAATCTTATTTCATATAGATGAGCTGGAATGGATAACTTGAAATTGTAGAACCATTACAATTTTATAGAAAATGAGGATCAAAAGATAAGAATATGCTATGACCACAGTCACTACACCCAGGGATTTTATCTCAATGCTGTAAATCCAGAAACTCTGCTCTCGACCATGACTTACATCTATGGCCATTTCAGAGATGCATCTCCGTGATATTTCCCTGAATTCCCCCCAATACAAGTTTCTACAGTAGGTAATGGCAGCTTCCAGAATAACCTCAGGTCACTGGAACACCCCAGTTCTGCAAACAACCCATTATAAGCCAGATTCCATCATGAAAATCCATCTTGCTACTGCTGTGGACATGCATCTTTATGACATTGGAGGAAAAAAAATGCAGAGATATCTGGTGTTTCTCTGTGATGAAAGCAATGTTGTATCGGCACAGTTACTAAGAATTGGCTTTGGCACACAAGGGTGACTCAGGTGGTTGAGCCTCTGACTCTTGATTTCGACTCAGGTCATTATCCCAAGATTGTGGGATCAAGGGTCATGGGATCAAACCCTGTGTCCAGCTCCATGCTGAGCGTGGGGCCTGCTTGGGATTCTTTGTCCCTCTCTTTCTGCCCCTTCTCAGCTGGTGCTCACACACTCGCTCTCTCTGTCTCTCTTAAGTAAAAATTAAAATTAAAAAAGATTGTCTTCACCTCTTGGTTTTTTCATCCCTTTCTGTCTCATGAAACACATGATGTACCACAAAGGCAGCAATTGCAGGAAGCAGAGATCCCTGTGGTTGAAAAAACAAAGGAAAACGGTTGGAATGACTGAAATTTAGAACTTTAGAAGAGGGGCCCTGCACAGCCAAAACTCAGGCCTTTGAGGCGAGAGGGTAGTGGTTCAGTTGCTCAATGGGTTCTAGTGTCTCTGAGCTTGGAAGGGAAACCCCAAGGGGCTGGGACCAACAGAGGATAGGACGGTCTTGGCCAATGCTGGTGACTGTAAGTGTGACACTATGAGAGGTGATCCACAAGTATCGAAAAATTGCAGACTGCTGCTAGCTACCCGGAGAAAAACGGATGTTGCCTGCCGGAAATGGCAATGCCAAAGTGATGCCCACTGGAAGTCCAGGCAGACAGGAAGCCGGCAAGGAGCTAACAGAACGGGGCAAGTCCCTTTCTCCTGCAGCCTTCCTATCTCCCTTTTTGCCCCTTACTGGCAGGATCTAAGGGGGAGTCAGCGGGCAAACAGAAATGAGGTTTGCAAATTCCCTGCCTCCTCATCACAAGATACTCCTAGAAGGGTGATTCGGAGCTCAGAGACGATTGCTTAATGAATGGCACAGCAATCCATAGATGATCCTTCTGAAATAACTGAAAATGGACTCATGATTACAGTTACACTGTGGCAAATGGCTAAACTACTTACAGAGTGTAGTAGCTTACTGAGAAGCCTTAGGACTCAGCACAGCCTCACAGTTTTAATGGTGGAGAAAGACCTAAGAATTCAAATTCTAATCCCCACTCATTGTATAATACAACATAACACCGTGTATCTCAGTGTCTGTTTCTGACTCTTGTTTGAGGAATATTGAACCAGCGAGAGTAAAAAGTGGTAAAATAAATTGGACACATACTTAACAGATAAAAAAAAGAAGTTGTGGTTCTCTAAACCAGACCAAATAAAGCTAATCTCAAATGAAGTTTGTTAAAAATACACTCACTCTCAGTCCTCTCAACACCATCGCAACATGAGCTAAGTAACTAGAACTTCTCAATTCTACCTCATCAAAAAAAAAAAAAAAAATCAAACCCTGGTTTTGGACACTGTGTGGAAACATATGCTGCTATTTACCATTAGTGGGAATTTCATTCACATCTCTATGCAGGAGAGCAGTTTGCCTATATGCATCATAATCCTCTAACATATGCCTTGTTCTTTAGACAGGAAACTCATTTCTAAAAATTTACCTAAAGGAGATAATCACATGGGTATAAAATTAATTTAGCCCAAGATTGTTCTTATCAGTGTTATTAAAAATAACATAGAGCTAAAAATAAGCCTGAGGGTTTATCCATAGGAGCCTGGTTAAGGAAATTACGCAAGTAATGAAATACTATACAATCTGTAAACATGACTAGCTAGACAATCTTTATCAGCATAGAAAGAACAAGTTTCAGAACATCCATCCATTCATTCACTCAAAGCTTGAGTTTCTGCATTGGCCAATGAACCTATCACTGACAAGGTACTTGCCTATTATAAAAAGCGCCCATTTATGTAAAACTATTTATGGAGGGGCCCCTGTTTATGTAGGGTAGCTCAGTCAGTTAACTGTCTGACTTCGGCTCGGGTCATGATCTCATAGTTTGTGGGTTCAAGCCCCACATAGGGCTCTGTGCTGATGGCTCAGAGCCTGGAGCCTGCTTCAGATTCTGTGTCTCCCTCTCTCTCTGCCCTTCCTCTGCCTGCACTCTGTTTCTCTCTCTCGCTCAAAAATAAATAAACGTTGAAAAAATGTAAAAAAAAAAAACCTGTTTGTGTATACTTATCTGAACATATGTAAAAATGTCTGGATTTCCTCAAAAATATTAAGAGACATTGGCTAAGAGAAAAATGTACTTGTCTCTCAGTGATGAGGCCATAGCTGATTTCTACTTTTGTCTTTGTACTTTTGTATATAGGGTGCTTGTGTAAAATTATTTTTACAAAAACAATACAGCCACTTTGAAATATCCCACACTTATTCAAAATCTAAGGCACTACCTTTTAGCAGAGTTCCCAGTTGAATGTGCTTTCTCTTTTGCTCAGAATTACTTGATCATTTGGTCCGTGTCATTCTTGGAAATTTAACATTTTGTCCCGAATTATAATTGGCTTGTGTTTGTCATCTCCCCTTATAAGATTGCAAGTATTTGAGGACAGTGACACTATCTTGTGTAATTTTCCTTACAGCATTCAGAACAAAGATTTGATTTTAGTGTCGCTCAGTAAATGTTGTGTTGCATTCCTAATTTCACTCACCATCAAATTGCACTGGGCATTCATCAGAGTAACTGCTTTGCCCATCGAGTTTATGGGTGATCATGCACCACTTATAGCCTGTCCTGAGGAGCAGTCTTAGTGAGCTATGGTTTATAACATACAACCTTAATCCTCCAGACAACACTGATTGTACTAAGGGTGGACTCTTGACCCAAAAGCAGCCAGTCCAAAGCCTGGCCACAGACATGACCTGGAATGAAAATTTGATCAATAGGCCATTCACAAGAGAAAAAAAAATCAGAGTGATTATAGACCTATGAAATTATTCTCAGTTTTATTAATAATCATGGAAATGCAAGCTAAAACAAAACAGAGACATGATTTTTTACCCATTG